ACAAAAAATAATATATACGGTTAATGTATATTGAAATTTGTTGCAAATTTTAAATGAACGTGTTTTAACTCCAACTCATTGGTGTTCGAAAAATTTCAGTCGTTTTTGTTCAATTGATAATAAATAATAATAACAGTAATAATCTGTGGATAGTGATAATGTAGGAGAATGGGTTATCCGTTGCGGTTACGACTGGTATATGTGTGGTATCAGCGATGGAGCATAATCTTTTTAAACGTCACAACACTATATAATATAATATGGGCTTTACATCCGGGATTTCAGACGTTAAATACGACATATATGTCGCATCCACTTGATGAAATCGTGCATTTTACGAAGTTATCCAGTTTATGAAGTGGAAACTACTTTTCCACTCGGTGTAATATTTGAAAATTATGGATTTATTTTTACGAAATAGATGGTATTAAATTTGATATCGTGTATCAAATAGCCGTCTACTTAGCAAAACAAAATGTTTGGTCTTCATTATATATATATATATATATATATATATTTGAAAAGTTTGAGATATCTCATAATTGAATCATTTAATTATTAAATCAAAGAACAAATTATTTAATAGGTAATTTTTGTTGTAATGTTTTTGGTTTTATTTCTGTATCTAAACCTTTTATAAAATTTACCTATATTTATTCTGGTGTAAATTATGTAATATTCACGTCACAACGTGTGTAGTATAATCAAGTAGTGACGTGTAGAAAAGTGGGGTAGACAAAACTAGAGGTAAAATTTAATGTAGCAGTTGTTGTCATAATTCAAGTAATTATTTGAATAAATAAAGTATTAAATAAAAAAAAAAAATAAAAAAAATAGATTACAATACTTAGCACTCACTTAACCAATATTATATTATTTTAAAATAATTAAAATAATAACATATTCCAAAGTTTTTAAAATAATATCTTTAATAATAATAAAGACTAAATATTTTGTTTCATTTGATGAAAAAGTTACACGATATCAAATTTTAGTATCTATTTCGTGAAAATATAATATAATCCATAATTTTAAATATTTCATCGAGTGGAAAAATGATTTCCACTTCATGAACTGGATAACTTCGTGAAATGTACAACTTAATCAATTGGTTAGGACATATTTATTGCATTTAACGTCTGGAATAGTGAGTGTAAAGCTCATATTATATTTATTGTCTTGGTATATTATGCCTTTTCATGGATACCACATATACCAGTAGTTACCGCAGCACAAGTTTAAATATGTTACTGAAAATATTTACAGCTTAATCGCGTATATTATAACAATATTTCGTATGACACTAAGTCATTAAGTTTAAGGGCTATGATAAAAAAAAATTGAGTTCATTAATTCTATTTTAGTACTTACTTATTATCTATATAATAAAACACACTATTCACTATTCAAATTATATTTATAAGTTATAATTTAAGTGTTATGTATTTATTTATTTTAAACTACCCACATAAATTATCAAGAAAATAAGACTTAGTAACTAACTGCTAAAAATGGTTTTCATATTAAATATTAACAACTTTTTTAAAGAGGTGTTATAGAAACGTGGGCTTTCACTAATTTCTATCACAAAAAAAAAAAAAAAATCTATAGCAAGATCATTCACTATTTATAAAAATACTTTTCCACATCTTTCTTTTTTATTCGAAACGATTTTAAAACATGATTGCGTTCCAATTAAAATAACAAATCGTATTTTCAATATGATAGGCTAATTTATTTTTGTATAACAGAACAGATCGTGGCCTAAAGTAGAGAATATTACTGTTTACATATTTACATAAAATATACTATTAAGCAACATCATTATTAAAACATACAAAATATAGAATGTTAGAATAACATTAAATATTTACATAAAATTAACAGTGTAATTGAATTTTAGTCAATAAATATTTATTTATGAAAAATAAATAAAAAATTATGTATTTATTTTGTAAGGAATTTTAAATTGTGATTTTAATACTGCAATTATTTTTAGAGAGAAAGGCCAAATTTTTTGTATTGCATGACTTACAGTTAATGAATGATTTTCATGCATAATAATATGTTCAAAATGCATATTTTAATTCAAATTTTGTTTTATTTCTTAAAACATGATTGGTATTTCGCTGTGAAAATAAAATATGTACTTGTGAATGCATTTTTGATTTAGTATCTACAATCATATCGTATTAATATTGTACAAATCAACACGTTGACTAAATGATTATGAATATCAGGTAAATTTACTGAGTAAAGGATGGAATTTAATATCATATTGTATAAATAAATTGAATGTTACATTTATGTCGAATGTACAGTGTCCGGTTTGCTTTACATCATATTTGTCGTTTGCAAAAAATGACAAAACTTTATGTTTTATTGAAAAAACAAACTGTCGTGTATTTAAACGTGCGTTTGTTTGTTGGATTTATATAAAATACTATTTTTCCGTACATAATAATATCGTTACACAGGTACGTCTAAATAATATAGTAAACAATAATATTATAGTTTATACAAACAGTAAATACTGAAATATATGTTTTACGTGTTTGTTAAGAAAATCACGGCGAGAGTTGTCGGAAAAGTCAATATATATATTGTATATATATATCAGCCGTTTCTACCGTGAATAATGTCCATTGTGATTATGCATATTATATACAGTAAAAGCCGCTTATTAGAAACACTTTGGGACCAAGGTGAATTGTGTCAATTAACCGATTGTTTCTAATAAGCGATTGAAAAAAAAAAATGAATAATAGGTACGCGAAAAAAATATGTATGTATGTATGTACCTATATTGTATAATTTAAAAAAGTATGCACAATTGTGTATATTTTACGATATTATGTAAAATATTTATCATTCGTAATTTGTTTTTTTACGTCGAGTAACTCCATGACCATATTTTCATACGAGTAATATTGCCCCTTTAGCTTTGTCACTTATTTTGAGTGCGTATGTGTGTTCAGGTAGAGCTCCAAAATAAAGCCCAGTCTCGTCCGCATTGAAAATATCAGAGCGTGTGTATTGGGCTAGCAAATCGGTCAAATGAGTTTCAAACCACGAATGGTCGCATGAAAATTGGCTAAAATCTTAGCGTTTAGACATTTTTAGATTTTTAGAAAAAGGAAACACTAATAATCTTTACATACGCACGCTGAAGCTAAACTACAAACGGTACGACCAGTATGTACAGAAAGAGCATTCTCGCGATAAATTACAGTAAAAATAAACGTAACGACAGCAAAGATAAAATTGAAGTACATTGGTTATCGCTAGATAATCGGTGTATATGTCAACTGACCTTCTCCCAATTGTTTCAAATAACCGATGTGATGTTTCAATAATCCGATTTATTTTCAATGTTCTAATATACGGCCGATCCGTCCCGAGACATTTTGTTTCAATAACACGATTGTATCAATTATCCGTGTTTCTAATAAGCGGCTTCTACTGTATATTATTGTGTGTGGGTATATATTCTATATATATATACGTAATTGTGTTTTATATTACGCATTGTATTAGATATTCCGTTCACGTGAAATACGAGTATAGCCGCAGTACCTTTGCACGCACACACCAAACAATACGTCTGACTATACAGTCTCATCAAGCTTCACGTGTTATTTACTGATATAGTACCTCTCTACATGTACTGACTTATTCGTTTCGCACCCGTCCGCACTTCTCCACAAGTCACAACAAATCGAAATGAAATATCAAATAAGCGTGTGCGTCATTATATAGCTTCCTACTTCCCACTCGCATTTTCGACACCACCTACCGTAGTTCCATAAGCACATAAACTCACTACACGTTTCGACTATTGTGTACTTTTCGATATTGGTTTTTTGGATTTTTTACCCGCAATATTCGTATATTTTATTATTACATCACAAAGTCAAACGATTTGACTGTGACTACACGCGGGCTGACGGAGAAATAAAAACTGCCGACCAATAACATTCATATTTTGGTATACATATTATTATTTATTGCGTACAAGACTGCATGTGCTTTTATAGTATAATATTTATATTATGTTACGTTCATAATTTTGTCGAAGTTGCACGGTATGTGGCTTCGTATAATTATAACTCTAAAACGCATCATTACATTCTGTAGGCTGGCGTGAATCTAAGAAAATAATCGTCGCAATAGGCGGGTCCGCAGGGCTTTAAGATACAAAGTGTGACCCCATAGAAAAATAATACTGTTACGCGAGTGTCATTATATAATTACATTCGTTCAAATATAAATCAATTACTCCCGTAGTCTTAAAGTGATGTACACACCTACCTATACCACACATAAAGACGTCATAAAATATTGTAATTTGTAAAGTCAAACCGTTTATTCATATAATTCAATTTATAATAGCTTTGAAATATAATTGGAGAGGGGTTATAAGTCACTATTATAATATAATCATCTCCTCTCCTATCCACCCAGTGTGTCTATCGATTCGCGACAATGAATAATTTTGATTAGAGTGCATCTTTATCGTATTATAATAATATTATCGTCCGTAGGCGTGCACAGATTTAATTTCCGAATTCTTTTTTCGATACCGATTAATTACTATATGCGCGCTACCATTGATTATAAATAATTATTAAACGCGTTCAATCAACGGTGTTATTATGTCTAATATGAGGCGTCACGTGTTCGTTATAAACTGTTTAGGACCCACGACGTTTGTAGCGATAATCGATAAGCTCGTGTATAAAAATGTTGGGAAAAGGATAACTGTTCTGCGGGTACACTACAGCAACGACTAGTCCTTTTTGAAATGTTCCATCGAATTAATGTCATGAGATTCTTTAACGCGCCTCTGTTTGAATACAAAGGTATACCCACACAGTGAGATATATGTAGTATAATGTAGTATTTATGATTTTATTTTTCTTTTTACAAAGGGAATAACGGTTTTAATTATTTTTATTTAAACAATTTTTATAAAATAAATAATTATAATTTTTCGATCGGTAATAATATCGATAGAGGTTATACAAAGATCAAATTTTTAACACGTTGTATAATACTGCAGGAACTTCACGCTTAAACGTCTACACGTTTTAATGTTATTTATTATGATTGATCCTTGGTAGCTAAGCAGGATTCATTTTAGACTATATTTTAGAACAAACAAATCGTAGATCATTGGAGAGAAAATATTACTTTCGAAAAACAAATGTTGGTGCCCTGACTGCAGGTATACTTAATGTCGATACACATTATACACACACGTGTCACTGTATGGCAATATAACACGAAGGTCATGAATAACAATATTATGTAACGATTTTTTAATATTCAGTCTTATTCATTTGAAACCCTTAGATATCACTGCTGTAGCGGTATATAGGACGTTTTAAAAATGACATCCAGGTCGATTGTAAGCGATTCGCATATAAATAAATTTTTATGATCAACTCTGTCCATAATATAATACTAATTCTAGTTAAATTATACTGTAATATTTATAGCGTTCTGCACAAGTCGTTAATGAACAGTAAAAAAAAGTACATAATACGCAGATGATTTTCGTTAAAAGTAAAAAAAAAAGAATAATCATTACGTATGGTAAACACCTAGTCAAACATCTTAGCTTTTGTGTCTGAGTATAACATTTATTGCAAAAAACTAATGAATAAATAAATAAATCATTAGTGTCATGCTTTGCAGTGCCGCTGATAATGGATAGTACTGTTTTTATGCAGTTGTGCCCACCCAATTAATGCAGTCAGGGAAGCCGTTCAAAACGTTTCATCGTGGTCTTGTTCGTGGCGAAAATGATCGCAGCGCACCCGTACACGACTCCGAGGACAATGAATATACAGCTATACACCAAAAACTGAAACGTACAAATCGTTCTTGGAATTAGATAATACCGTGCAAAAACAATACATGATCTAGCTAAGTAAATATGTCAGCGTGGGCGTTCATTGTTATTAACTATTTGAAATAAAAAATTGGTATGGGACATTGGCTTAACGCGATTGAAATAAATAACTTGAAATGTCTTAAATAATAATCCTTGAATAAATAATTTTATTCAAATGGGCTTGTAATGACCCATTTGTGTTATATTTATCTTATTTAAACTTCTTTTAATTAAACTTAATTTTTTTTTTGTATAATCCAAATAATGCTTTTAAAAATTGTGGTAATCGAGACTAATATTTTACCGGCAATATTTGTCTCATCGACCATACTATTGTTATTTCGTCAGAATCTAGCGTTTTGTTTGTGGGTCCATCAATCAAGCATGACAAAAAAAAAAAATGTTTCCATTATATTGGTATACTAGACGTGTCGTTCTGGTATTTTAATAATAGAAACTTCGATCACGGCAAGGTAAGCTAATCTTATAAGTTATTAAGTTCGAGTTGAAAATTGCAATAGGCTGATAAACATTTTATGCAAGGTACCGTAGAAATTCTATCGGAACAGGTATAGTAATGGCAGTTGTTATGAAATATATTGCATAGATCGCAGTGACATTATAATAATATATCAATAAGATAATTATTTCAACTGTTATGGTATTGCTTATTCACTACGCATACCTATAAAATATATCGGCATAAACAAAAAAAATCCCTCCGCTTTCACAGTATACGAGCTTTATATTATAACTAAAGTTATTTTATCCAATGTGCATTATATTATATAAATGTATGTATGCAAAAATGTCAATATCAAATATAATCTCACCCGGATTGGAAGGGATGTCTCGATGCATACCAGGAGTGACGACAAGCACGTGGACAGGACGATGCCCAAGAAAGCATTGAATCCCAACACCGATGTATAGCAATCGTGTTTTAGTTGTTTGGCGATTTGTGATCTGTAATGAAAAACGGGTAAAATCGTTTACGGTAATAGTGATAAATTATAATACATAATAATTGAAGAAGTTTGCAAATTTTTAAAACGGTTTTAATTTTTAGGTTTCACGACCTTAAAAACTACAGTGCTAGTGCGCAAAGTCTTTGTAAGTCTTTTCGGATAAGTATATATTGATAATGAATATATATAAATTTGTACTTTTTTAATTTATTAAAAAACTTACAATTTATATTTACCAAACACAATAAGAGTAAATCTGAAGGTTTGCACACACGTGTAACTTAGACTCATTTGATGAGAGAGATTATTCATCATTAGACATTTATAACCCTTTAGAATTTGATGTAATTAGTTTAAATCAAGAGATCACAATATCCGCGTCTTTAGGGATGAGAATATGAAGAGGAGGGTTGTCGAGAAGTGTGTGTGAGCATAAGTAGGAAATGAAAGGCTTTGAGTGCTGTTGAAGTTTTGAGTGAAATTTCGTGTTGTATTTTTTTTTTTAGCCAATCGATCGATTGTATCAATTTTTAAGTCATTGGATATAGTGAGAATTTGAGACGGTTTGGCGCAGTCTAACGAATATTTACAACTCCTTTTATTGAATATCCTTAATAGTCTATAATACGTAATATTATATACTCACATGGCGATGACGAAAACAGATTGCAATATCGTGTTGAAGCAGATGTACATGAAGTACACGACAAGGATGTTTTTCGAACTGTAGCCTAGGGACAGCAACAGTGAAAGCACCAGAGAACTAAAAGTCAAAAATGTGTATCCGTGATAATTCCAGTTCACATTCACCTTGCCGATTTGATAAGCACTAATCGCCGCTATAATAAATATGCAATATACATAAGATATTATATCATTTATATATTATTTTTCGCATGGTATTTGTTTATGTTCGGGAATAGGAACTATAACTCGGTCGATTGTTTCGCACAATCTTTATGCACGGAAAACCGTACAGGTCTCTGCCATTCCTAATTTTTTGAGGAAAAGAATGGTTTTTCATTAGACAGTTTCCTGTTCAGAGAGAAAGAGAGAGATGACGTCAACGGTCGGGCCCGGCGACGGTGTGTGTTTGAAGGTTATATCGTCTATAGGTATATAAATAATATAGCACGAAAACACAGCTAAAAGTTAGTAATTTAATACTCTATATATATACGTACGTATTATACGTATTGAATAAAATAGAAAACAAATTGGTAAAACACGTGGTGTAAAATAACTTTACCCGTTCTCCGTTTGATTGTCAAAGGTCTGTAAAAGATGAGTTTATTTGCATGTTTTCTGCAGATCTCAAAAAAAAAAAAAAAAAACACGTGGAAAGCCGTAAAAACATGTTTTTGAATGTCTGTCAGAAATTTCGATAAACTATTATGCTGATCCGGATTACGTTTGAGTTGTGTTGCGACGCACCTACCCGCCGAGTGCCAACAACTCTAACAGGACAACTGTGTGTAGCTGTTTTGGGGAAGACAATTATTTCAATAAGTATAATATATTATATAAATTACATTTTATTCTATTTATCAAACAGTAGGAAAATATTATCGTTTAATACGCAAATATATATATATATATATACTGCGTGTTCACCTATTTAAGGAACATTGAATTTAGCGGCCGGATTAAATTGGAATAAATCAAATTTTTTTATACAAGCTATAGTGGTATACAAATACACATAATATGTAGATAAATTTCAAAATGTTTGTGATTCCAATATGCGCATGCGCAATTAAAATATTTATTTTTTTCAATTGCAACAACACCTATTTTGAACACCATATTTGGATAGACCTGATTTTTTTAAAGTAATTTTGATGTATCAACTATGGTTCTAAATTAAAAATTGACTGAATAAAAGCCATTTTCTTTTTAATAAATAAATACATTTTTACGGTTAATTTAAATAAATTAAATCATTTATAGTCATTTATTATTGGTTAATTTTTAAATGTTTTTACGTATTTTTTTTTTATTTTTTTTTATACGTGTTATTAATAAGATTTACTTACATAATATGGGTATACATTTGTTTAGTAAATATTATTTATAATAGTTATTTCATAATTACACAATTGATTGAATAAATTGCTCTTAGTTTCCACCATTATTTTCTACGAATAATTGAAATCGTTGTAGATATCCTCTATTGGTTGCTGACATTATTTGACTTTCAGTTAATTGTTATTACACAATACACGCAACTACGATTTTGTTTTTTGAATCTGTAAGACTGACTGATGATCTTTGTAAGCTATCGCTTTTAAATTTTTCATAAAACAAAAAAAATCAAGTGGAGTAATATCTGCAGGTGACTTTGCTGGTCATTAAATGGGTCTTATTTATATCACATATATATATATAAAAAAAAATACATTCAAAATTAACCAATAATAAATAATTATAAATGATTGTATGCATTATTATAAATACATCGTAAAAATGTATTTATTTATTAAAAAGGAAATGGCTTTTATTTAGTCAATTTTTAATTTAGAACCACAGTTGATACATCAAAATTACTTAAAAAAATTAGACTTATCTGAATATAGTGTTCAAAATAGGCGTTGCTATTCAAAAAAATAATATTTTTATTACGTATACTCATACCGAAACGATAAAAATTTTGAAATTTATCTATAAATGTGTGTTTGTATACCACTAGTTAAAAAAAAAAAAAAAAATCGATTTATTCCAATTTAATCCGGCCGATAAATTCAATGGTTCCTAAATTGGTATATATACATATTATTACTTATTATTGGTGCGCGATTCGCGTATAATGATAATTTATAGTAATTGTCATCCACGCCGCCGTAACTATACATCACTATCTCTGCTCCTCGATCGAGCGGAAGACGAACCAGCGGGGCGAGCCGTATGAATTTGTGCCGGCCGGCGCACGCGAGCACAGACATAATTATAATTTATTTTGATATTTGTATATTTTCCATACATTACGGGCATAATTATTTTAATATTAATAATCATTCTCGTTGCTCGACCGTGAATGCGACTCTATTATACCGGGTAAGCATAAACAATCACTGAACATTTTGAACATTTAACGAATCCTTTGTGAGCTAATGGCCCCATAAACTTTGGCAGTCCCTTAACGACTTGTGCAATAAATAAACAATCACAATAAACAATTGTGCATAGCGCGGTGACTCTATTATGATTTATGACCATTAATACCTGTTCCTTATTACTTATTAGTTATTTGTGTTTAATATGTTCAACAGTATAGTTCGTGTATATATTATGGGAGTTATCAATTCCCACAGACTACGACTCTTCATAACAGTCAAATTTTATTATGTCATTAGTTCGGCATGAACAGTCTAACCAATTGATATTACTACATTGATATATTTACAAGCGTGTATATGGTATATTACACTAGATTTGTACACGAGCGCAAATACTTGTAAATTCAATTTTGTTTCCCATGACGGTGTTTTGTTAAGAATCTATATTTATTCGTTGGCCAGAAACTGATTTTGAACCCGTTTGCGTTGACTCTAACGATAACGTACTTTACTCTTCCCCCTCACCCCACACACACATTCACACACAATATGAAATCTTTCAATTATTTGCAACAATAATTAGCATTCAATTCTTGTGAATTTCTGACTATAGCTTTTTATGATAAATTCTTGCTCTACCCCAGTCGTTCAATGGAAAAGTGAACTTTTCCAGGTGGAATAACTTTATCACGAGTTGAGTTCATTCGTAAGAATTTAACACTGTCTAATTTTTGCACGAAAAAAATTACTAATAGTTAACTCCCCTCTTATATAATAGATATTTGGTAATTTGTGGGTGCACCATAGTCTTTTTACATGATTTTTTTTTTACCGAATTGTTTTTTCATTGTATAATTATATATACATAAATTTCTTTTGGAATATTCAATTCCATTTCCGTTTCCGTGTACCTACGCTCTTCATACTTTTTAATTATAATATTATGTATTTCACTATAACGTACCATATATTATATACTATGGAAAATAAATTAATTTAATATATATATATGTGTGTATATGTATATTTTACTCACCGCACATGGTGGCCATAGAATCGACTAAACCATTCAGCAACGCGTGCTTATCGTCCGTTACATCAACGATATACGTATACAAAATATTTACATATAAATTCGTCTACAAAAAAAAAAAACAAAGCTATTTAATACGATAATTATATACGTATAATGGTATAATACATCTAAATTATCTTAATATATCTAATATATCTTACAGTGTGTTCAAAAAAGCTTGTAAGTACATATATGTTTTTAACATTTTAGAACACTCTATACATAGGGTTTTGATTTACAAGTTTGACATATTTAATATTTCAATGAATATTTAATTATATTTAAAATATTTGCTTACTAATTTTCTAATTATATGTAATTACAATAACTCATAATTATATGGCCATTGGTCGCACTGACTAACGTTATAGTTTTAAAGATAATTGTTGTAATGGATCAGGTAATTATAACGCATTACATATTTGATGTTTTATCATAATAATTAATGTAAAATAACTATGAAATGTGTATAACTTAGTTATTTGGAAATTGTATAGTATGATGATGTATTTTTCCACATAGGTTTAAAGAAAATATCTTTTATTTTTTTTGATAATATTTTTTAAACGAATAATAAATATATAACTATGTAATTAATAATATATCTAAAAATTAAATCACGAACCATTTACTAAAATGTGATATTGCAGTTTATACATATTAATACAAAAAAAAAAAAAATTTTTGTATGTTGTGTATTTGTGTATAAAACATTTCTACCAAGTTTCTAGAAGAATTTAAAAATTTTAAATTGAATATTTGAAAAAAAATAATAATAGTTTCATGCAATTTTATAAAACTATTTATATGCTGTAAAAATATTATGCATACTTGTGTGTATTCGGCTATCGCTACGATGTACCAAATGGACCACATCAGAACCGTGCGATCTGTGTACGAATGTCTGAAGTCGGAAAAACGATTTAACACATCCGTAGACGGTACAACCTAAAGTATAGAAATAAATTAAGAGTCGTATATTATGATATCTGTGGTCAGTGTTCGACAGAGAAACGGTACCTATACTAGTGTTGTGTATTATGCGTTCTGCTAACATTAAAAGTACCTACTCTAAACTTTATAAGTTGGATGACAATTTCGAAATGTAAACTTTGTGATGTATGTGTTTGTGAATGTAACTTTAATGTAACGATATATAATTTAAACGAAAAATTGAGTTATTTATCTTTCAAAACAAATTATAAATACATATTAAATCATATCTATGTATAATTTAATATGCAGGCACGTATACAAAATACAATTTTGGGGGGGGGGGAGGTTACAAAATATAGTAATACAAATTGTACCGCAATATAATAAAACAATTTCTTCCTCGTTACTCATTATTTTTTAATGTGACATTTATTATGCTAAGTGTCCAAATTTTATGTATGTCATTTGTTCAGAAGTAAGTTAATAAGAATAATTATAATAATAATAAATATAATTTTAAATGTTATGAACAGAACAGACATTTATTTTATTAGTATCTATGCACATAAAATTACCTAAGTATATTATACTATTAAGTACCTAGATAGAAGAAAAAAAATCAAACAATTTGTATATAATACATTAAAAAATTATAAATTAAAGTATAAAATCCTATTTTCGTGGTAACTTAGCAAATATCTATCGATATCTTCTACCACATTTAAATTAAAATCTCGGTATATGTTTAGTAGCGCCAATCCAGCAAGTCTAATTTCTCTCATATTGTTTCGTAAGTACGTTTTAAGTCTTTGTAGAGTTGAGAATGACCGTTCAGCAATATTAGTTGTAACAGGTAATGTGGTCAAAATGTACCTTACAGTATTGATTTAATAATACATAAATTAGCAATTTAATAGGAATTTTTGGTCATCAATTGAGATATAAGAAAAGATTATTGACAAAATGTGAGTTTTCTAGGTATATATCGCAATGTTCAGTTCTCACACGTGCGTAATTCTCAGTAATCAGTTATCAATTCATTCGACTATAATACTAGATTATAAACTTGTATTTCATACCCGACTAATAAAAATAAAAGAAAATTAACCAATAGCTAGTAATAAAAATATTTTATAATAATAGGTGTATAATTTGACTTAATTTTCAAAGAAATTTTTTTTTTTTTTTTGGGGGGGGGGGGGGGGGTTCAATCCCTGTATACGTGCCTGTTAATATGTCAATCAATCATTAATCTTTAAAAAAAATTAGCTTTATTTTATCTATTGTATAATATTGCAATAAAATAGTGGTTAAAATAAAATAAATAATTAATTAATAGATAGATTTGAAGAAATATTATTTTATTTTTACACTGCAGAACAGTTAAAACTCGTCAAACTATTATTAAAACATTGTGAAGTTTAGAGTAATAATTATAGGCATAAACAACATGTTATAAAGATTAATTTTTTTATAAAAAATTAACGACTGTATTTGTACGATAAATGCGTTTGGAAGCATAGAAAATTTAAATACATTTTTTTAATTTGCATATTTAATATTTAGTTTAAGTCGAACCCTGGTGGTATGAGTGTTATATTTTACTTCAAATAGTTATTATTTCATAATTCTAAATTATTCATTAATTTTTCTATAATTTATGGTTGCTCATAATTATTTGAAAAAAAGTAATATATGATGCTCGATCAGTATGGATTGCGTAGGTACATCAAAATATTTCGGTTGGTAGATCCCTTTTACTAATAAATCGTATACAACACTAGTATCGAAAATCAACGATCATTCAAGTTTGTATGTATTATTCTATGGTTTATAAATTCAAATTAAATTAATTTACGTTATATCTGTGAATATATATATATATATATATATATATATATATATATATATATAAGTCTTATAATATAGAACCATTGTAATAATATAATCAAAGTTTTGCATACTTTTTATTACAATAGCTAATAAAAATACAGTTGAAAATTATTAACTATATTAACTTATTGTTTAATATTTATTCGGAGAATTTTCGATATTTGTGAGTATAGATATATAAACTTTATTTATCGGTTTATTTTTAGATTTTTTGTCCAACACTATCTGCTTCTAAAACCTTATATAGATAGACCATACGATAAAAATGGTGACGGTGTGGCTATAGTAATTATTGGAACTACAAGTGCCAGAAAAGTATGTGTAGTATTCAAGGATGTTTAAGAGTTACATTTTAAGGATCATAAAGTATTTTATTATATTTTACACTTATATTTATATAAAATTATTTTACCCGATAATGTTCTTTAATTTTTTCCTCTGCACATTTCTAAATTCTAAAATTTTAGCACGAGCTTTTTTTAAATGTATGTGCTATAAAAATTAGTTAATTTAAGTTTTAGTTTTAATTTTCCAAAAATATATTTATGTTTTGAATATTTTAGTTTTATTTTTGAGTATTCACCTTCTGGGTAATTTAGTCACCCACTGACAATTACAATTTAATACCATTATCATATTATTGTATTTAATTAAAATAATTGGTCATATAACAATAACTATTAAATGTTAATTTAAATACTTAACGAAATCTTAAAATATCGGAAACTTTCGATTACTGCAATTTTTTTACTACTTGGAAGTGTCTGTTATTTTAAGGTGTTTGTTAGGAGAGATATCACATAAAATATATTTGCTAGTGATTCCTTAAATATTGACTATAGAAGCTTGAGTGAGAGAAAGCAAAACTTTTGGGAGACCCGGAAAAACTACTAATCCTGATATTTTTGTTGGGCAAAAATAGGATGGTCGTTTTCGGACAAAAACTTTACCGCCCCAGCTAGACGACACCGTGTGCAAATGCCATCGAGTGCTCACGTTTGGCGTATCTGCTTTTTCGGTCGATGAGTACTTGGGTATACTTGGGTTACGAATGGTCGCATTTGAAAAACCATCGCCTCTGACGTCATCCACTTTAATGGTTTTGCCGTTTCCGACGGATGGCAAGAAGCACGCCCATACAGTCGCAAATGTCATGACTGGAAAAAAAAAAACCAAAAAATTACGTCTGTACCAGTATATCACTATATGTGATAAAAGCAACACACTCGATGAGTAATTCAATGACGTTAATAGGACAGTTTTGTGTATTTGTGTGTGGGTAGGGGAGAGGGTGGTATGTTATTACATATTTGTCACAAGCATTTGTATCTCATAACGTTTATAAACTCGTGCACGTATGTACGTATGAACAATTTATATTTGTTATATTTTTTTATAATAATATGCAAAAACTTATCACGCTTATCATATTACAGTAGGTATATTATCGAAATCCATTGGATGGATAATCTTTAACATAGGAATCATAACGTGATGACATAATGTGTTTACCTGTGTACTACAAATTTTAATGTAAAACGCGTGATCTAAAGCTTACATGACATGTTCCAATTAATTTTTGAACCAAAATGATAAATAATATAAACTAAAAACATGTTAACTCAATAAAAATAAAAATGTTGAGGGGGCGATAATGTGATATACTCGTATCGCCTACAATTTCCCTTGCAGTTTCGCCGCTGATGAGTATATTGTAATAAGTAATAACAATATGAAGATAATATAAAGGTAGGTGTGTGTGTGTGTGTGTGTGTGTGTGTTTGTTATAATTATTGGTGGCAATGCATTAAAAAAACTTAGTATTAGAAAATAAGGTCGAAAATGGGTAAAATACAAAGTGTAGACGGTGGTTTTTCGGTCTTAACAATTTGATTAGACGTTTTCACGTATACTACGAAGAAAACCACACGTATTCTAAAAAACTTATGTTTGTAATATTATTTTCCCCTTCGGCCGGGTCTACAATCAGACGTTACTTGTGCGCCAGGCGAAAAAATACAAATAAATAAATCACTTTGAAATTCGTACAGGCGAGGCTGTAGTAAGGCAGGACGGAGTAATTGCGATCGTTGAAGTAGACCACCAGCTGACCCAGGAGGCCGCCTACGCACGAGCCGCTCAGCATTCCGGATTTTGCGAACCCCGTGGCTATCTGATAATGTACTTTGTCTTCGATCTTGGAGTATAAGTAACCGTAATACGTCATCTCGATGCACGCGAACAGCGATAAGCAGAACTCGGTTACCTGTTGAACATACGTACACACGAGACCGTATAGGACGATAATAAACGTCTAACTAGAAGCACATGTTACGCGCGTAAAGTTTGGATTAACTGGGCTCATAATATCACACAGAATAAACAATACGCGTCGACGACAAATACTGCAGTGGACGAAGTGTTCCGGAATTTATTTGTGCGCTAAAATCGCATTGATATAGGCACGGCTCTTTTTAAGACCTTTTCGAAAAATATCGCATTATTGTCGTGTGTATTAACACGCCGTCAACGAAGTAATTATAATATTATTATGATAAATGGTCGTCAAATCTTCGTCACTGAAGTGCCACAGTACAGTACAGCTCAACTTTCACAAAGCTATTGTCTCGGAAAAACATCTTTTTCGATTATTTTGGTATTGAAATTTATTTTGCCTATTTAAATTTAAGTACCAAGCGTGTTATGGTAAATTGTGCTGTGGTACCGAGTTATAGCTTGCTGGTATGAATTGAGAGGTATATTTTGAGGCTCAGTATTATGCAATAATTTTTACTTTTTAATAATAAATTTAAGGGCATGGTGTGGCGTATAGTGTTTGTCTGCAGTCGCTAAATAATTCTGCGGTCAAACACCGTCCGGCATTGATAGCTCTCTAATGGTGGACGGAATTATGTCCTACAAACGGAAAATACATATCCCAAGAATTTACAGTGCCATAACCCACAGTAACAGATCTAATGACCATAGTTGTGGATGTTTAATTTTGAAAAAATAAAATAAAAGGATATCAACTATAATGATAAAATAATAATACAGCACTTCCTCCTCCGGACTATCATATTAAACCGGTCTCTGATTCTAGCGATTTGGTATTTTAAAACATTATATTATAGTGTGTATTGCGATTACTTGAGTATAAACACAAAATTTTATTTTATGGAGATCAATAATAAATGTTCTTTGCAGGAGTGAACTGAGTCTATGCGCAGGTGAAAAAATTTTCACTGAGCTGTATTTCACATTTAGATCGTGGTACTCTGGTTAAGTATCTAACCTAACCTAACTGATTATATTTATTATTTAATAATACGATTTCAAAGAAGGTCTATTCCGCCCGCGGCTCTTCGTTTCAAACACTATAACATGCGCCTCTCTTTATAACAACAAGTCAAAATTTAAGTACGTAATCACGTCATTTTATGTACGTCTTAATAAACTATTACAATACCATTATTTGAAGCGTGTTCGGCGAATCCATCAGACAGATGTATGCCACCATACCCAGCACGCCGTTAAGTATCATCATCGGCTTGTATCGCAAATAATCGGACAACAGGAACACCAGAAACGAACCGATCACTGCATAGTATATCCTGACTGGCGTAAATACGTCGGAAACCTGTGTACAACGATAAAGTAACCGATATTATTATGACATAATAGATTTTTAGATTTATTCGGGACTTGTTCGAGCACAGTGAAAAAAGTAAATAAAAAACGCAATTTCAATCTCAGCCATTTCACTACGTTCGTCGAACGTGAAGTAGCCGAATTGAGTGTATAAAAGATTGCGATCGTATTAGATTGGTGCTATAAAAACGAATCACTCCGTTAATTTTCACATCATAAATAATTACGTACATTATAATTGTTATATGCGTCTAGATTACGTAGCTATTTGCTTTTTGAGCGAAGAAATAGTATACTCTACAACAGCCTACCAATATTATTCTTTTTTTTTAATTTTTTATTTTTTTATGTAACGGATTTAGTTATAAAAAGACGTCATATAGTCTATAGACATAATATTTCCTTTATGTCTTACACAAGTTTAATATACAAAATATAAACCACAGAAAAAATATTTTAATATTACGTCATGTTATTTTATTAAACATTAATTCTAATTTTCTAGTTAAAAAATTCAAATCAATTATCTAACTTACTAGTTGATCATGCAATCGATAAATGACAAATAAATAAATGAAACATGCAGGAAATTTATAGATCAAAACGTTTGTATAAAAGCATAGTAAAATTTATTAAATTATGTTTTTTTTGTTGAAATCCGCATAACTTATTTTAAAAATTTTATCAAATTAAAATTTGATTACACGAGTAAATATGTATATGTCAACATATAAATAAAAAAAAGATGGTGAGGTATACAAATAAAACATACATCCTTAGATAAATATAGTTTTAATTACAACTGAAAATTGTTATTGGTTTTACTTTTCAATCAAGACTGATGTCTAATAAAATATACAAATTTGGTTTTTATTTTTCTGTCTACGTATCACATTTTCACTAATGCTAATATTTATAGTTGTGATTAAAGGAAATCTAGTGAAAAATTGTTGTGAATAATATGAAATGTTCTTGATCGAAACGTTTTTATCAATATAGTCCATCATGTCTGTTTTAAAACGAGTTTTATGAATTTCAAATTTTAAATTATTCAAGTATTTATAAATCATGGCTTTAAAAAAATATGCAAAAACTCTTTGTTGGTGCACAGCTCATATTCTTTTCCGTAAATTGTATGATATATTAATTTGTTCTGATATTTTTAATAAAAAATGAGTCTTAATAAGAATTTTTAGTGTGTAAATTTGTCATGTTAGGCATTTGTAAGACAAAAACACAATACACATTATGCAGTATGACACGAGACATGTGATGTAACCAAATTCGATTTGTAATTTCGTATAGAAACTCAAAACCGATTTTGGATGTAGACGCGGATACCGATGCAGTGACTTTTATTATGATATTGTTTATTTATTTATTTGTTTTTTCTTAACGTAAAATTAGTTTCAAGTGTGTTGCCGAAAACGGGATAAAACGTTTTAAGAACACTAAATTTTGTGAATTAAAATATAAATAAATAGGTACGTTTATAATATCTGAACGGTCGTCATTGTTTTTGTACATTATATTATTTTGGTCTCACTTTTACACAATATTCTGTAGTTTATAAATAGTATACAATACACTGACGCAATAATAATGGCTTTCGAAATCGCATTAACGATTCTGTTAGTTTCGTCACGAAAGCTTAATGCTATGACACAATTCAATTTGTTATTTTCGCAATCCTATAGCTGTTTATTATTTTATTTTATTTTTTTTTATTCATTTTCAACACAAAATATGGTATCGATTTTTTAAAATTCAGAAAGAATAGATTCTTTTTTTTTTTTCATGTTTTATTTTTCCTTTCTTTCGTTCGATGATTTTGGCTTTATTTATTTATATTGTAGAAAATTGATTTTACCAAAGTTATATTATATACGTGACTTTTACTCGTTTTTTCCAAAACTGAAAATGGTTAATAATTCAGTTACGACACGAATGTGTTGAGGACAAAAAAAAGGTCTTTGGGTTTGTTTGATTTATTGATTTGACGAACACTCACTGAATAATAAAGATAATACAATGTATTAATCGAAACTAAAATGATTTTTAACAGCTACATCGACAAGTCAAATATTATTCAGTTGGGCGAGTTCCACCGATTTTCAATTAGTTGATTTTAAGGTCGAAATTATAACGTGTAAATTTCAACCTGCAAAAATAAACATAAAAAATTCCACCGATACTAAATAAATTTAAAATTTACTTATATTATAAAAATTAAATTAAATTCATATTTGTGTGCACAATTTTTATACATTAATACAAACTTATTATCTTTTTGTAAAATATTGTATGTATAACAAAAAATAAATTAAAACGTTTTTAGTACGCTTTATATTTTTTATCAGAACAGAAAGTAAGCTTTGTAAAGATTTCGCCTAGTAACTACTAATTAACATCAACATTTACATGATAATGATAACAAAATAAATAAAAATGACAATCTTTGATATTGAATGCTTTGTGTGATTCATTTTAGCATTAAATTGGAAAGAAAAATGTGTCATCATTATATTATTTAGTTTGAACGACACGCATTAACCACATAAAGTAATCAGTATATGATAATCATACATAAAAAATAAATATTTCTGATATTCTATTACATAATTTCGAATTGTAATTATAGAACGTACGCAGACACGAGATTGATATTTTTGGAAAGAAGACTTATTTCTTGCTAGGGTTATCCAAAATAAAGAGCTCGATTATTTAATATTTGTATGGTTTACGTAACCCTCATAAGAAACGTCTGTCTATGATCATTATATGTTGATAGTATGATAATATACTTAATACAGTGAAATTTCTTGAAAGTCTTGAAGTCGCAAGAGACAAAAAAAAAAAAAATCGACTCATCGAAACTTCGAGTTACCAAGGGAATTTAAAACATAAATAAAATTTGAAATAAAAATGTTTAATTACTGGAAAAAAATGTGTATTTATAATATATATTGTACCTATGTATATACACGTTATTAGTGTTTGTCATTTAGATAAGTATACATGATTTTCCATAAAAGTAGAAAATCTGTCATTTTTGTTTGCTTTCGTTTAGTATTAGAAGTATTTTCATTAAAATTACCTAAATTATTAAGTGCATAAAAAATGTTGTCAGAAACTTTTGACTGTTGTTGGATGTATTTTTGAAGTTCGTGAATATGTATAATTTTCAGCTTGGGCACCACGTATTAAAGGTTCAACAGCAACAACTTCTTTCTCGTCGATTGCTTCATCGGCAGCATCCGTCTCTGGCTCATTGAGAATAATAGATTTTTTTGAACGTTTCTGCATCGGTCAAACTTCCTGGTGTACTCAAAGTAGAATCAATATCCAAAAAAAAGTTCGTGTAACTTCATCGCTGTTATCGGTCATAGCGCTGAACTATAATTAAAAATCAACGTTATTACAACGTTGTATGTATAAGCTCCGTCATTCATCTTATATTTTATGATCTGGGCATTTCATATTTTATCTGATATGTCATAGTTATTTGAGTTAGTAAATAGACGGTGGGTACCGGATAATGACTTTGATTTGTAGAAAAATTCGACATATGGAAATTCGATGTACCGAATTAACCTTAACACGTAAGTCCAATATTAAATGATTGGGATTGAAAAAAAAATTCGACATACAGAAACTTCAAAATACCGGAATATGAGATAGCGAGGTTTCACTGTAATAGTAACATGATTGTCATCAGTCATTGATCACAACGCACATATCCAAGAGTGGTAAATACATATTTATTACGATGTTTTTAAGAAGACGCGTATTTTTTTCCAAATTAAACGTTAACGGTTAATATTATCAGTATATATTATATACTGATATCTATATAAGTGTTCACACGCATCATTGATTAAACTACTTGTAGCTATGCATTAATAACCAATAGTAGACATATTATTATCATACTAGACACGTAAATGGCAAGGGTGGTCGAAATTTATTTTTTCATAAAGACCTACTGGGAAAACATTTTATTCTTTTGAAGAACAATGATATTGCGTTATTTATTTTTTTACTGCACATTTTTTATAATATTAGTAATAAATAATAACTAATAATAGTATACTCGTGTGAATACTAACCGAAATGAATATTTAATTGTTTGTAATATTAAAATTTAAAAATAAATATTTTATTGCGTATTGTGGAAGTGTCCATGTCCCGTGTGTGTTTGACGTACTTATGTAACGCATGGGGTCTAAAGACAAAGACTGATCGCATTTTAAGTAGGTATATACTCGGCGTATTACATGCGTGGGGTAGGTAAATATTGCTATTAAGTATATATATATATATATATATATATATAGAAAAAACACACTAATACACGACGTCAAACAATGACTTCAACATCGTCGTTATTATTGCGCAGACTGTACGTGTAATAATATATTATTACAGAACGACAGATTGAACAAAGTACAGAAACGGAAGCAGAAAAAAAAAAAGAAAAAACTCTATTCAGAGTAAATTGAGTAATATGGATATGAAATTTCGTCTCCAGAGAAATATATACGTATATTATATGTATACATATTAAGTTACCAAAACCTGAACTTTCGAGTTTTAAACAACTTTCGACTTTCGGGTAACTTTTTTTATAGTATTGACTGCACGAAGATGATGCTCTCGAATAATAATAGAGAGTGATTGTGAGTGATTTTGAGTGTATGTTACATCACTATATACTGCACACTACATTGTATAATCGATATACCTTTGAATTATATTATTTAATACATGACAATATTTATTTACAGTTTCATCGAGGAAATTAAATGTACACGCTGTTGCATCAAACGCTTCGTCGTCACACAATGGAGTCGGGCAAATACAATTAAGACCTGCGTGTAGGTATATTTGATAACGTTAACACCTACCCATTCCGCGTTATCCGTGAAATGTTCAAATGCCAATGAGTGTATTATTATTATTATATTGTGTTGTAGTCGCGTATTCAATTATTCAGCTGGAAGTTTACTCGTTAAAGTAATAGCAAACGTATAATAGTATCGATTATACTAATAGCAACGAATCTTCGTGCTGAAATTCAGTCTTAGTGCACTTACATTTTATGATAATATCATTATCGCGTCGGACCGCAACAATGAACACCGCGGCGTTGCTGAACAATAGAAAACAATCGCAGATTACAGACCTGCCCGAGGGTAGAACCACCGCGTGTTACAATTCGGCGGGCCAGACTGTATTTCGGTAGTTTTAACATTAAACTTAATCGTTGTAACCCATTTTAACGGGATTTGCGCCAGTGAAAGTTTTGGAAATCGAGGACTGGCACATGGCCCATTTGTGACATGGTCAGACTGTCTCAATAACGTAGGTACTTGTTTAATGTGAAAATCGACTTTATTTTTTTTTAATTATTGCAGCTATTAAAGTTAAGCAAAGATAATGAAAAAAAAAGCATATAAAGTAAACTTAAACAGGAGGTATTATATCTAGTTGAAATAGTCGTAAGTTAATTAAATTAAAATTACTTAAATTTTTTAACTTCTACTTGAATCGGTTTATCAAACTATTAAATGTACAATTTAATATTTTGTGCATATTTTAGTATTACACATTTTTAATTTTTTTTTTTTTTTTATTACACGACAAAAAATAATGTAAGGTAATATCTACTTTAATCCTAAATTTTAAGTTTTGTTTACAATAGGTTAGGTCTTTTTAGCTTAACAAATGTCCTGTTGTACTTGTCTACGTTAATACTCATGTAAGTGTGTGTGTGTGTGTGTGTGTGTGTGTGTGTGTGTGTGTGTGTGTGTGTCTGTGTCTATGTCTGTGTGTTTGTGTGTGTCTGTGTGTCTGTGTGTCTGTGTATATATATATATTATTAATAGCCGTTTATGTACCTCATTTAGCGACACGTTTACGGACGGTCCAGTCAAGTATGCCGTCAGAAACGAATCCATCGGTCGTATTTCCACCGTGAAAGTGAAAACTGTCACCATGACCGTTATGAATTTCCAATGATCCATGGCAGTGGCTGTGCTTTTATCCGATTTGGAAGACGGCCGTTAAAACTAAGCGTGAGCCTTTTTAAAAACGTTTAGTTTATCTCCTGGCCCGCAACAGTACTCACTCGTAATATCGAATATCCCACAATCGTAAACGCGCGGCGCAAATACAATAACAATTGAAAACAAATCGCACGTACTGGCATAGGTATTGGCCGTTAACTAGTAATTGCATGGCAATAAATGATTCGATATTGTGCAATGTAATTCAAGCGAATGTTATTTATGTCCATGTCTGACCTATTGACCACGGTAATCTGTGTTCGGCATTTTTTTTTCAGACTTTTTTTCCATCGTAGCGAGTTGTACGTTAATTCGTATGTGCAATTAGAAAAATAAGCAAACACCGTTCCTCTACATGGGCGAAGCGTTGTAAGGCAGTAGTTTGATTTTCTCGATATCATATAATATTGTAAGAGTATTGATAAGTATGCGATTAGAATAATCGTTACGCAATGCGGTTTAGTGATTAAAATGTATCATGATATTAATATATCGGCGACTCGTCGGGAAATCAGGTTCAATTTGTGCCGATAAAATCATTTTTGAAGAGGTATTAACTCTTTTGTACTTTAAAGGCCGTCGGCCAGTTATATCTATTTATTTTCAAAAGGCTAAGCGGCAAGTATTACCATTTCATCATTATAACTGTGCAATGAATCATGGTAAAATATATATGACAGTATGTCTATATTTTTATTTATTTTTTTTTTATAGCAAAAGCCATATAGGTCAATTTAAAATATTAGTCAAGGCAAAAACTTATTTTCGACGGGTTATTTTAACAGTAATAATTTAATGTATGATAAACTAAATCCCGACAAGCAAAATTGGCTCATAAAATATTTTTAATGGATCCGTTATTGATTAAACAAAAATACAAGAAATATATCTTAGTTATAAATAACAGAATAAAATAAATATATAAAAATAATTTTATCTATTAATTAATAAAAAATTCTCGATTTATATTTTAGTTGATAACTCTACGTATAGTAATAATGTGAAGTAAAATAAGTGTAAAAAAATATGCATAAGTTTTGTTATATTTTTTTTTAATTTGTATATATAACTGGAAGGTCGAAAAACACTGATATAGACATGAGTATAGAACTAGATTATTACATGTTATAGGTTGAATATTATAATAACTTTTTAGAAAATTATTATCTTATCATCCTAACCGATTATATTTTGGTAGAATACATACAGTATGTTGATATATTTTGATTTAATTATGATAATTACGCATAAATTAAATTACATATTTAATTGTAAGCAGTCCATACGTATTTATAATAATATAGATAATTAATTTAAATCACAAATTGTATTATTGTATTTTTTTTTTTTTTTTTTATACTAAGTCAGCAGTATTATCAATACATATTATAATATGTCTTAATAATATATTTAAATATAATATAATATATACATTTTTTTTCAGTTGGCGATGTCTTCTTAATGGAATAAATTCAGCTACAGTGCCTTATTGTAAATACTGCTAAGAACATGAATAAAATACCAGAGAAGTTATTCTACTGTATAGTTAGTATCCACTGTTCGGTGTACATCGATTTTAAGTATAAATCACTGTAATGTATGAATTAAATTAGAATTTAATGATAAATCATGGCATACGAAAAACAACTCCGAGTAAACCATGTCTATATAATTGAAACTGTTTTATCATAGTTAGTTTTTCTTTTAGTAATACGACAGGCTGAACTAATTTTTACCTAGTACATATCAATCATCAAATATGTTAATTATTTTATTATTATTTCATACATAATGAATTATTCATGTATAATTATGTTGTATTATTTGTATACTAATAAAAATACAAATTTAAATTCAAATGTTAGTGAAAATCAATACATATTATATTATAGTATTAATAATATTTATAATTTATGTATATTATGAATAATTTCTAAAAAAAAAAAAAAAGAGCGATGGAACAGGGCCTATTATCCCTCCGTTTCTGTTTTAGATATGTCTTGAATATGGCTAAAACTTAAAACCATGTGATGTATTATTTTATTTTATAAGATAAATAATTTCTGCGAGGTATAATCCTGGGTACTTGATTAGAATAACGGTAATCCAGGGTTGTAGGACGTCATCGTCTCAGTGATGTTCTCTTTTGTTTGACTTTTTCTTATTCTATAGTTTTACACCAAATTTCATCACATCTTGATAGTCTGGCAGCCGTTATTGAGTTTTTAGTGTCAATGTTGAAGTTTTTGTCGTAATATTCCCAATAATAGTTATACTCGTCAATTTACCATTATCGGTGTATCCGAATCTATTCATTTTATAATGTGGCCAATAACATAATGCACCTAATTTATTATACATTTATACTTTTTTTCTTAATTGTTACTTATTTGTTCGTTCCGTGTTTTGATTTCTGTAATCTGATATTATTTATTATGAAATGCTGTATTTCATGTTGTGAAGTGGACTTCATATCAGTGTGTGTATTTTCTCCGTCTTACTAACGCACTAAGTGGTATTTTTACAGTTTCTTGCGCACGAGTTTGTGTCTCGTAATCGTCCCTCGGAAGAATGCATAATATAAGGTATATCTAACCCGTAACGCATATAGACTTGCAGATTTAACAATATAGGTATTATGCTTGATAGCATAAAATATATATTAATTTAATGGTTCACAAAAAATTTGAATGGACCAATTATGTTCCTGTAAATTACGTTTAAAAGCCCCTCACTATCGATTCATTAAATTATGGTTGACGATTGTTCATGCAACCTGATATAATTCTATTACCTATATATTATATTACCTGTCGTCAATATCGTATACATCGTTGTGTTCTATCGTCGTTCTGTTTATGTAAATTATTTTAAGTAAAAAAAAAAAAAAACATTGATTGGGTTATTTGGAAAAGGGAGCATCTTCAGAAATTTAAAATTTTACACGAGAGACAAAAATCTTAATTTGATAATAAACATCAGAATTTTAGAGGATTAAAAAATATTTAACTATAATATTTTATACACCTGTAAAGTAATGAACTATTTTACCAGAATCTATAAAATAATATAAAAAATAGAAAATGGACATGTTCTTTTTTCCAAATAACCCATTCCATTATTTTCACGAGTATTTATAGTCTTTCTATACAATCGTACAAGCTTGTTTTGTATGCAGCATACGCACGTTTGGACTTATCCCGATGTGGCTAAAACTGCGTATATATATAGGTGCGGTAGATTTTCGTGTGGTTTATAAACCGCGGTATAGTATCTCATACGATGTAATTTTCAAAAGAGTATTCAAGTCAGTTATAATTAGTGTGTGTGTGTGTGTGTGTGTGTGCGTATTGTGCGTATGTGTTTTTTACGGAATGGCGACTGAACGGCAACTAACTGACGGGTATACTCGTACTTTAATATCGTGAATATAATATTACTCAACGTGAATAATATTTTTTCAGTTTTTGAGAACCCTCGGTTAATAATATTAATGTCCGCCCAACTGAAACTCGTGCCCGGGCCGGCTGCAAGGTTGAATGCGTCCGTGTGTGCGCGTGCGTGCGCGCGCGCGTTGCGTGCAGCCGCCGTTGCGACTATGGGACGCGGGGCGAGGCGGTGGTGCCGGGTGACAGATCGCCGCCGACGCGCACCGCGTAGCCCGACAGGTTGGCCAACCGCGTGTCGACGACAAATCGGTGGCCGACCGACCGTCCGCGTACGCGTCTGTCGTCACCGCCGTCATCGGCCGTCGGCGGGCGACCGATGGTGGTAACAGTGTTCGCCGCGCACACTCGACCGCCGTCGGACCGCCGCCGTCGTCCGACCGTGCGTAGTGCGTACGAATCGTGCACGACATTCGGTCGTAGTCGCCGTGTCTTGCTTTTCGTCGATCGCGGTCATAGGTGTGAACGGACTGGGGCGGGGCTGACGACGGCCTGAACGGCGTCCCGATGATCGTGGCCATGGAGAGGAAACTCATATCGGAACTGATCGACGAGTACAAGACGTGCACGTGCCTGTGGAGGATCAAGGACCCGGACTACAAGAACAAAGAGATGAAGAACGAGGCGTACGAGTCGCTGCTGCAGTTGATAAAAAAGTACATTACAGTGACGATAGTAATAATAATATAATAATAATAATAATAATAATAATAATAATAATAATATGTAATAAGTAGTAACGTAAACGAATATAATATTATACCGTCGTACGGTGCGCGACAAATAATATTATTGTTAACATTGTTATCGGTGTGCGTATGCACGAAGAAAAACGCGGGCAAGCGGCGGCCGATCGCGGAGCGTAACAGATCGTCAGCGACCGGCTCAGTTGTAGACCGCGGCTGGCGGGAAACGAGTAGGTCGCGTGTGTGTGTTTTGGGGGGGGGGGGTAGCGCGCGTCGAGTTCCGGCGGCGGCGGACGACCTTTGAAACAAACGGTAATAATTCGCGGGCTTACGTTGTGAATTGCGACGTAGGTACTGACTACTTGTACGACTTGTATTTCTGCTACCACCGATCATTTACTTTGTCAACGTCGTCGTTAAGGGCGATCGCGCTTGCACACCTCCCGACCGTCAAACTAAGCGTCGATGTTTACTTGACTATAAATCTGTATTCTATATTGTTATATCAGCAATTGTACACGGCACACGTACTAATTACATAATTTACTAGCTGTTATAATCCGACGTGGCCCGGTAAAAAAACGAGCAAACATAAAACACGGCATTATAGCGGTGCGTATCTTGGTTTTAATGTACTACAATTCGTCAAGGCCAATCCGACATCAAGCTTTTCAACAATATCTGAAACTTTCATCAAAATTAGTCGAGTTGTTCTCGAGTGCATTTTGTTTGAATAACAAACAATAAATTAAATTTTATTTTATTTCGTTTGAAAAAAAAATCCCATAGTAACATAATATGGTGAGTCGACTAGTCTATAGTAAAAAATAATGGTATAGACTCCATACCGTTTTTTGAATTGTATTTCTAAAACCAATGACAATCTTTTATACGTTAACAACAAACATTCAATCTTTGTGAGCCAAAACGAAATTTATGTACAAGCCACTCTATTTCAATTTAGGCTTTAAATATACTATAGGAATATCAAAGATCTATTGATATAACTTTTATTGAAATCGGCCGAGTATTTTCTAAGGTAGACACTTTTAAACATATTATAACTTCTTCAGCCTTCTAATATTAGTTTATATAATAAAGTATATTATTACACAGAGCGTCAGTGTGTATCATAATTTATGAAGTTTGAGAGTTGTACTAATGATAATAATGCGGGGAAGACAAAGGATTTAAAGAAAAGCCGATTTTTTTTTTTTTTTTTAATGTCCTTTAATTGTTTTTTCTGTAAAAAGAAAACGATTTAAAATGTATAGGTATTTTATAGCTTGGTTAACAGTCTTTTTGTTTCATTGCCCTATACGAAATAATTAAAATTTAAATCTCCTGTCTGATGTTTTTTAGTCGATTTATGGATTATCTAAAATATAATATCATGAAAACAATCGACGTTATAAATAATTGTATTTAAATATAATTTCAATGTCAAATTGCCAAATACAATAGTAGAGTCAGGGTTAGGGAAATTGTGGGACAACCAATTTCAAAAGCCTGCTTTTAAGGCCAAAACTTAAGAATGGAAAGAATTAGTACCATCAAACCTTAGAGGTCATTATTTATTAACAACTTACATATAAAATTGAAAATATTTTCATTATTATCTATGATTTTATTACAGTTAAATATTTTATATTTATATTGTTTTAAATTAAAAGTAATGTAAAATATATAAATACTTTATTTTAATATGTTTTCCTTTTTATTTGGTCAAAGGTTTCTATTATTGAGACACAATAAAATTTTTCTATGCTTAGTATTGTCAATTATGATAATTAGTTAATTATAAAAGCTATTTTTGAACAAAAATAAATGTAAGGTTTTAGTTATTTTAGTTAATTAAAACTAAGTAAAACTTGCAGGTAGCGTACATAAATATAGGTAGGATAAAAAAATCATAAATTCTAGAACATTATTAAAGATGATATCTCTACCATCCTTATTTAACTGATAATAAACAAATTTAAATGATTTAGATCATATTAAAATTATCAACTTGATAAATTTTAGAAAAAAACTATAATATAGATATTAATAAGTAGTAATTTAATTTTTTTTTTTGAGTCCAATCCATTAAAAAAAATGTATTATGTATCAAATTACTTTCTAAACGTCTTCTTTGCTAGATCCATCAATAACTGTACGTAGCTTTTTGTCAATCTATCGTTTTTTTTGCCATTTATCAGTCTGTTATTAATATCATTTTAATAAGACCACGGAGTTATTTCACACGCACTAACGTTTTTCCCACTACCGACCTTTGTTTTTGAGAATTATTAACATTCGTTGTCGACGACGGCACCATAATAGAGGTCACATCTGATGTGCACTTGTTAGACTTATGATTTAGAGCTGTTGAGCACTAAGTAATTTTTAACTTAAAACTCTCATGCTTTACATTATTTATATAATATATTTTATAATATATTTTATAATATGATCAATTTCTTCTAATACCATCTCATATTCATGGACTTTATCATTAGTTTTAAATTTATTCCAAATATATGAAAGGCATTTTTCTTAATATTTTTTTTTTAATATTCAAGTCCTACCAATTTAAAACATTGTTTTAAGTTATTGAGTGCTATACTGTTATATACATTATTAAATTTTAAATGACTTGTCGATTCCCATTTTTCATTTTATTTATTACATGAATATTTGCATTCTTGATTGTTAGTAATATTATGTGGTATATGTACTATGTACCATGAAAATATCTATTCTAAATAGTAAATATCAAATATTACATAGTGGTCATACGATGTTTTTGTTACAATAAAATATATAAACGAGGGTAATATTTTAGTTGTGGTAGTTTATAAAAACAAAACAAATTTTGAAAGGGCTGTTTAGCACACCCAGTAATTAACTGTACTGTTGATAGATGAATTTAAACTTAAATATAAACTCAATTTTATATAACTAAACAATAAATATTTAAATCAAATTATTTGCAATTATTTAAGCGAACGTAAGGTGAAATGGGAACATTAAAATATATGTCTTGTTCATATGTTAATAGTAATTTAAAGACTGTATCAAATTAATAAAATCGTTAGTTTTATATTATCACGTATCAGAAATACGTATATCATTTATATTGCAGTAAAAATTTAAAATCATCACAAACGTGATTTTTAGGTTATTTACTGATTGGTATTTTATTTTTTTTTATACGTTATATAGTAAATATTTTTAAATTCATATTAGTAATATCAAGAATTTTAAAAATTGCTTTTAGTGTTTACAATAATGGCTTTAGTTAAATATTTATAACGGCGTAAATAAAGTAGATCTGATGATAGTCGGTAGATCTGGTTTGTTCTAATATTCAATTTTTTATTCAATTTTCTTAGTTGCGTATTAGGTATATATATATAAATGAAGTATATTATGTATAAAATCTATATAAAAATAAATTTTAATTAATACAGTTTATTTATCACAGTATACATTTTTACTTTTTAAGGACTTATTTTTTAAATTGAATTTTTCATTTATTCTATTAATTATCACTATAAATAAATATATATTTTTCTGATAGGTAAGTATCCAAGTTATTTCAATAAAAATAAGTTTGAAGTGATTAATTAAATTGAATAAAAGTAAAAACTAAAAAGGTATCAATGTTTATGTAAAATTAATATTTGTTGGACGTTTCGTAGAATTGATTTTATATTGTTTGATTTCATTGGAACTTGCAAGAATAATATTTCTCATTTTTAAATTCATAATAATATTACTTTGCATATTATTTGTTATACAAACATGTATTTGTATTAATATTACAAAAAAATAAAATATTTAGTTTTAAAAAATCTTAGTATTCCGTACATCCCTCATAGTTTCTTACAAATAAATACGTCGTTTAATCATAAAAATAAATGTATAATTTATTTTTTACTATATTTACAAAAGGTCAATAATATCAAAATAAATCAAAAACAAAATTTTAAAATATATTTTTCGTAGACTTCTCGAATTTTCAAGAATATGGTAGATTTAAACTTATGAAATTATATTTGTTTTGTAATGCATTCTATGTTGTTTTAATATTTTATTTACACTGTATACAGATACAACGAGAACTGTACAATGGATGACCTGAAACGTAAAATAGCCAATCTGAGAACATGTTACTTGAGGGAATTCAAAAAAGTTATGGACGCTAAGAGATATGGTGGAATATATGAACCCAGTTTGTGGTATTACAAGTAAGGGATCCTGTTACTTACTTATAATAGTATAATAGGCACAATAGTACATTGTACTATGCATATTACATTATTATAGTATTATAATTATACATGTATGCTGACATACTGTTTGATATATACTTACACCCATGTTGAGGTAAAATTACTTCTGAAAAGTAATAGAATCGCGTTACTATATGAATATTAAATTATAGTAATTAAGTTAGGTAGGTACCTTTACGGCTTTACGTTAATGTATCGTGACACGCTTTTAGTTCCATAGCATGTTTTACACAGCTAAAAGAAGAACGTCAATAAATATTATTAGGTCATATTATGACATTTTTAATTTTGTTTAAACTAGTGTTAAATACACTGATAATAGATGATAATTAATAGGGAGTTGATTCGTCGATTTATAAATTATTATGTCCTCGAGTTATGATTATTAAGTTGCCCGATTAGATTAACGTTGTAGACACAATATTGCTCTGTGTTAACGTTTGAATACAAAAGAGAATTTAAACGGATGTGTAACAATAATAGGAAGTAATCAAAAATTCAATTTGAAAATAATTTAGAGTGTGAAGTATTAAGTCTTAAATGTAGACATATTTAGTACGAATACTGTAGTACTATAATATGTCGCGTATAAATAATATGAATGTTATTACTTTTTATGCAAACAAAATACTTATTGACCAATATGTTATAAGTTATATTTAATACTTTTATTTATTCATTTATTATATTTCACGTCGATAATTGATGTACTTTTTAAACTAAAACTACTCTTAAACGTAAAACGTAAATGGTTATTCAGCCTTTAGAGGAATTGAAACTTAATAATCAATAATTGTGTTACTACTCAACACTGTTATGTATACACATGGTGAGGGATGTCAAATATGTATTGTTGGTCGGTACACGCGTTTTATACAGTTCGTGTAAATGTATTGTCGATTATCGTATTATAGATCCTTGGAGTTTCTAAACGACCAGCATCACAGCGAAGACAGAGTGCGATTGGGCCGCAGTTATCCGGATAATAGCGACGAAGATAACGAATCAAACGAGGTAATATTTAGTTGTTATCTACTATAATATTGGACCATAAATATATTATATGAATGTATATTTATGAAAGTAGGTTTTTATTTCTGTTATTGTAAATATTAGATAAGAATTATAAGGATGACGATACTTATTCTCTCATAATCTCATCCTTTACTTTCAAATTCGGATTTCTTCCAACTAAGTGCCTATTTATTTACATATCTGACATAGTTACGTATAATATATTTTACGTGTTTTCTTTCAATTGCGCATAAATATAAAATATGAATGGAATCATGTGTTATATCAATATAGTCATGTATTTATTATGTATTTACGATCTTTGCCAGGTAGTAGTAGGTATACATTCATAAAGATGTTTTCAGTGATAAGTCCGATATAGTAATATCATGTAAAAATTAATATAGTAATAATTGCGATAGGTGATAATGATAACATGTGTAATGTATATGAGTATAACATTTTATAATTTTTAAAGAAAAACAAGTTTCTAGTTGTTAAAATACTTCTGTTTTAAAACGTACACATCATATAAATTAAGCAGGATTACAGTCTGTATATAGGGGTCTTCAACCTTCATAGCCGCGAGATACTTTTTTTTTTTAATTTCGTGAATTGCATTTATAACAAAAATAAATGTTAAATTATTGAAAATGTGCCAGAAAATTCATGTTATACCTATGTGTTTGTGTGCCTTAATTAAAGACAAGGTAGGGGTGTTAGTTACCTTATCCTAGCTATAGAGTATTTTGAAAGTCAATTTTAAAGACGATTAATCAACTAAATCATAAATCGATAGATACTATGAGTATTCGAATAGTTATCATAATACATCATATTATTATGATCAACGTAGTATAATCATCATATTGTTACAGGAAATGTTAAAGAAATGTCACAAAATGATTTTGAACACTAAAATAATAATTGGTTTACAGAAATCTATATGTTTTTTACTCATATCTGTGTTTGATATCGACAAAAATAATTTAGCTTTTTTCAATTTAACCCATCGTGATATCAAAATATGTAGGTAAATGCGTTGAATAATTTTTTCTATTGCAATATGACGCTATTGGTTCAAATAACTATATTATACTCGTATATGATATGTATCTCGTCGGCATAATATAAAATTATATTATACAACTCAAGCAAATATAATCATTTGAGAAATGCATTTTACATGATTAACATATTATAGATCATTTAGGGACGTCGGAGTTTCGATATAGTTTGCGATTTATCAAATTTTTACTAATAAATAATGATATTAAAGTTTAATTTAATAATTTAAATTACAATACTACCTAGTACCTACTGACATTTATATTGCAATAAAATATTACACATAATAAATAATTTTTTAATGCATGGTAATAAAAAAAGTTATAAGTTTATATAAATATATTATATATTGCAATAAATGTACAGATTATAAATAAATAATATACAAAATAATAATGTTGGTATGTTAATTCCATCTATTTATTATAATTCATATCTTTATTTTGTACATCGTGCTGACGAAATTTCGTTATTGTTGATAATTACTGTAATTCTACAGTGTAGTATATATATTTTGATAATAATTAACCTCATATATCTCAGTTAATACATATAAAATCGTGATATTGGAAATTATAGGTTTGATATTATATTTAATACAATTGAATAATGAAGTTGGCTTATAAAGGACCCATCATTTCTTATAATTATTATTATTATAGTTGTTAAATGTTACAATTATTTACATTTTTTATTTGTCATTTATTCTATGTTATAATTTATTTCAATTTTAGTTTGTTTGTAATTTATTAACTATTTTGAATTGAATTTACAGATGTTTTGAACAAAAATACATTTTTAATACTTAGTTAAAATAGGTAAAGTGGTGACTTGAAAACTAAATTTTGATAAAGATGTTTCTAATTATGAATGATGTGCAAACAGAACAAATAAAATATTTTAAAAAGAACATTAAAAAAAAAAATTCAACAAAGTGTGTAAGAAATTGTAATTGACGAAAACTATAAAACGCGTTAATAAAAAAATATGAAAAATTTAAAATATTCCGTGTATTAAGTCCTAAAAATACCTAGATTAGTATCGAAAATGTGAATCAAAAGTTTAAAAATTGAATTCATTAGTACCTACTTACATATCCATCATAATAATTCAAACTCTATTTCTAGAAAGTTACTTCTTATAATACATTTTCCTATAAACCTTTAGCACCATTTTGTAAAGTGTAATATGTGTTTATGAAATTACAGACACAAAACATCTTGGTATTCGAGGACGTAGACGACCGTGCCGGGTCCGAGGACAAGGATTCGTGTTCCACCGAACCTGAGTACCAACAATCCTGCGCGGCGACCAGCAGTAATTTGCAGACCGTTTTGGGTGGTAGCGGTAGCGGTGGTGGTGGCGGCGGTGGCGGCGGTAGCGGTGGCGTTGGTGCCGGCGAAGGAGATGGCGTTAAGAGACCCAAAAGACGGCGGCGGGTGTTGGACGTGTCGTCAGCGGTACAGAACGGGGGGCCGTCCGCCAGGGTATCGCATCCGCCGCCACCGCCGGACCGGTACTCGAGCGGTACCGGAGCCACCGACTTTTACGAACCCCAAATATTGGGCGGCGTGGGCGGCGATCCTGCAGAACCGCCGGTAGCCGACTACTATGACGGGTTCGGCCGGTACGCGGCTAACGAGCTCCGGCAGATGGACAGGCAGTCGGTGATCATCGCCAAGCGGCTGGTCAACGAAGTGTTGTTCCTGGGCCAGATGGGCATGTTGAACGTCAACACGAGGATCGAGACGCCGACGACCGGTCGCCGGAAGAACGCTTCCGCGTCGGCCGCGTGCAAATCAGAAACGCGCGATCGCCGGCGCCGTCGTCGACCGCATCGTGACGAGGACGACGAGGACGACGACGATAATGACGACTGCTGCATCGACGACGGGGAGGAGCACGGCCACGACGGCGGCGGACGCGAATCTTCGTCGTCGCCAATGCCACCCGTCGAGTTCATGGAGACTTCGTGATACGCCGCAGAAAACGGGGTCGACTGTCGTCCCATTAGCAACAATCTGCACATCGCACACGTAACCGACATCTACTGTCCTCCTCCCCAAATTCATAGACGATCGAAATTCGATTTTGAGACGCCGCCTTGAAGAATCCGGTAAATACGATTCGTGTTGATGTACAGCATCTATTCATTAATTATTATGTTTACCTGTATATAATATAATGTTTTGTTGTATATTATATTATTATTTGTAAGGAGTATAGAATTACCTATTCTATAAAAGACTATTGTTGATATGCATTATATGATGTGTCCCGATGTATTTTTATGTTTTACGATTTGAGTACAATATTGTTTTTTGCGTTTAAAAAATATTGTTTACGGGTATTTTTGTCGTTCGGACCACGCGGCTTTTAATGATACTTTGAAAAGTCAATTCAAAATACAGTAGAATAATTCATAATCACAAACTATTTTTCTACACATTGTACACTTTAATTTTAAGAATTATAATATTTGTTGTTCGATAATCATTATTATACTCATATTATGTAATTTAAACGTTCCTAATACGTATTGAATTTTACTCGAATTGTTCGAATTTATTATTTCCATAACCTTTTCCGCAGTCACCTCGAGAAGCTATATTTATTTTATACGAATGTCGTCTATTCTATACGTACCCGCGTGCAACTGCGCGAATCTCGTACATCGCCAGACCCGAAGATTACCGTGGTCGACGTGTACATTAGATACGTTGGGATGTTGTCGTCCGCTATGCGGAGGGTTCAGTTTATTGTTTTTTTCCCCGAAAAAGACCGTTCGTCACTCGCGAATCCTCGGTGTCCGTTTTGGGAACTTTCCCGGTATTATATCATGCATATCGCTATAATATTACGTGCACGTATAAAATAACCGATTCATACGAGTCTCTGTTGGGCGTCGCGTGTCGAGCGGTGGTTATGCATAACATTATTATATATTTATATGTTTACCTTTATCAAACTTTCGCAGTTACGAATAATGCAACTTTGTACTCACTGTTATTTGCTCAACACGCGCGCGTGCGACTTCCACCCGGAATATATAATTATTGTACGTGAATTTATGTTTAATGCGGTCGTTTGGAAAATTTATTTTTTTAAGGCTGCGTGCGATTTTCCGTATGATGTGTACCTATATCATACAATATTATCGTGTAGATGATGTCATACGATAACCTAACTAGGTACCTCTATCTGTATAATTAAGCCAGCGTGTAGTGCGTCATTTAATATTAATAGGAATTATGTTGTAACGGCCGGTACCTACGTGATACTTATATAAATATTATATATTACGGGATTTGCGAAACTCCGCGCAGGTGAAATTTTCGCGGTCCACAAATTGAAAACGAAATTTTATCGGGTCACTGGGACTTGAGAGTTTTATAGTCGCTGAATCAAATACGTATCATTCACAGCGAGGCGAATAGAAATATAAAAGTTAAGCGACCAAATAATTGTAAATTCGTTGAAACGACGACGTTCTGTGTGTATTTATACAGTATATTACGCATGACGAGGATTATTTACACACACATTTTGAAAGTATCTGTCTACTGGATTTTTTTTCCAAGTCATTTTTAAACATGTCATCTCTACGCAGTGAGGTTTAACGCCGTGCCACAAAAAAAATGGTAAAAAATTACGTTCCGCTGACATACTTTCGTGTGTATAAAAATACACGCACGATTACACGTTTACATCCATCTAACCACTGTTTTTAATCCTTGGACAAAAAAAGGCTTAAGTCTGAAAATGTACAAAAAAAGTTTTACCTGAGGTATTAACCATGTAATGTATTTTAACATAATATATTTTATACGTTTACCGTATAAATATTATAGTTATTTATTTTATTTTATTTTTATTTACCTTATTTTTATTAGTTATACATTTATTATAAAACTAATAACATTATGCCTCTATCATATGAAAAGTTGTAAATTTTAATAAATTACAAGTTTAAAGATGTACAGCGGACGTAGCCCCCAGGGGTCAGCTTGGGTTGACTCTTAACCTACCCCCCAGATGGTTGGTGAACAAACCGAGTAGTAACTAATTATAAATTGTCTGTGTTGTTTACACACTCAAAGTTTAATTGTTTGATTAATAACCTAAAAGTTATAAAGGTGTAGGGTTAATTTTTTTCAAAGGGGCTTTTAACATCGTGGGGAGTACAATGTGCGATAGGTGATACTCCTATCGTTCTTAATTTATTAATAACTATATTATATTAAACTAATGTTACATTTGTTTATAAAATTAATAATTAATATGGGTAATTCGGTAATTGAATTAATGAAGTTATGAAAAATAAAACTAATTTTTATCGATTTCGAAGATCCGTTTTGAGCAATAATATTTTATGATCGTAGAGCACAACAATTATTATAATATTCCAAACAATCACTGGAAAACATTATATGCGTCGCTATGAAAAATACGCGCAATTTTCATTTTTTTTTTTGATCACATTTCATATTCTATAAGCATGCGTGTATCACGGATGACGTATATGTATAAAATATAGCCGTATAGGTAACCGGTATGTAATATTTAGTATTTAATTATTTATATTGATGCACAGTAAAGTTACACACACACCTACACATGCAAACACACACTCAAACACACCCACACCCACATCCACCCACACACACACACATATAATTTAATAAAAAATTAATATGTTTTTATGAGGATTTGTAGCAATACGTATTTCAGAATTATGCAGAGCGCGTGTCTGTGTAATGAATTGGGATTGACTACTTTTGCAACAAACACGTATCTAGACATCGTTTGATGTTCGTCAGTTTACCGATAATACGATGTACTCAGATCGTTTGAGCTGTAAACCAAATATAACAGCAACATTGCCAGACGCTCTTGCGCGTTACAGTCGCATTCCAAAAAATTCACATATTTGTTGCCACGGTTTAAAAACGAACCAATATGGTAATACTTAGGGGAGTATTTAGAAATGTCTTATGGAGGGGGGGGGCAAAAACAAAAAGTTCAAATTAGCGTACATGGGGCGTAGAGATATAAAACATCTCATATTTTTCATCTCAATAAATTATTATCACTCATCATTCATATTATTCATAACCAAATAATCAAAATATATGTGTCATAAAAACATAAAATTGTATTGAAAAAATGTATAATAATTAATAAAACATGTAATTAATAGCAATTTTTGTTGTTGTAATAACTAAAAGCATCTAGGGTATTTATTAGCATATACTTCAACTACTTTTTCAGGTTTTATAATTATTTCCAGATGTATATTAAACAATGCTTAATCTCTTAAGGTAAGAAAATGACTTTTCAGATGTGTATGTTGTCACAGGAAGTATTACTAATAATTGATAGACATTTATATATTGTTTGATGTTTTAGTGTTTCAGTGAAAATCTTTGTACAGACGTCGCAGTTTCGTAATTATTATTGCCGCGGGTTTTCCATAGTTTTTCTCAAATCTTATTTTATCGTAGTTCTTATTTATAGAAACTAAATTCTTTAACTAACTATAGACTATTTATAAATAGTAAAGGTAAATGCATTACATTTTAACTCCTAAATAATGGCCGCAGACATACAGTTGTCTTTTCCTACTCCATACAAAAGAACCTTCATGATTAATAAATTATCGGTGTTATTTTGTGCATCTGCCTTGAAACGCCACTCTGTCCGTAATCCTCCGGAAACGTGTGACTCGTACCAGATGGCTGGAGGTGATCAAGACTTGTTTCGCCATTGCACAATGCTTTAATATATATCAAAGAAGCACACTCGTGAAAAACGGTAAATCGAAACGATTAAGAATCAAGCTTTGGAAAATACGCAAGCCGAAAGGTAAATATCGAGGTCACCTGCTGATCGCAATTATTGTAACACAAAGAATAATATGGTCGGCAGCCGCCAGCCAGTATCTCGGTCGTATCTCATGGTCGCCAGTGATGATTAAGAGGGGAGGGAGAGTAATTGAAAATTATTGTCCCTTATTATTTTATTTCTTGGGCGACCTTTTACTTTTATATTAGAGTTGTTATCATGTACTATGTACTAGTTAATACATTTTTCCGTATGAAAAATTTAAATTAATAGAGCTGTCAACGATACGTATTTCCAGCCCTTCATATCGTTATTATGATATCGTCTTCCTAGAAGTAATTAATAATATTTCGAAATTGCTTTTATACGAATACCTATATCAGTAAATTTGTGCGTTATCACTTAATCAATTATAAGCAGCTGTTTTAAACTGTATCAATGTGTCTTCCCCGATTCCCGAAGTGTCTTGACGTGACATTTAGCGTTGATATCGGATAATAATATAGTCGACGTCTAGATTGTGACTGACACAGCGTGGAGATCGTAGCTTAACCCTCATATTATATTATACGGCCCTCCCTTACAGTTATATATAAATATAATGCATCTATTTGTATATTATACATTTTAAGCACGGAATATGATTACTTTAAAGTTTAAACTTTTATATTTTAGGCTACGATTATAAACTATATTAATACTCTAACTCCTAAAGGTCTGTTATTTGGGTCTTTAGTTTTGCCCCGGAAATTCGTCAAAATGTACGATTAATTATAAGATAATATACCACCATTGAAAATTCTTGGTCACGCCACTGGTCGTTGAATCACGTGATTTGTTAAAAAAAAAAAAAAAAAAAAATTACATGGTTTTATAAGCCTGTGGTAACCTATTACACGATGCAACAGTGGCAAGCTCGGCCTTGGTGACCACCATTCGTATCAACGTAAAAAATTCGAGTTTTCAAGTAAACCGGAATATATCGGGGTGTGTATTCGACTAGCATATTGGTATAACGTGCTACGAAACACGTATATCTGCAATCCGGCTCGACTTGACATAACAGGTAAACTAGTAACGATTGGATATCTGAGAAATTGTTCATCACGCGCCGTACTGAAATGAGTCTTAAGCGATAGTTTCTGTGTCATGTCTACAAAATTTCAAAAAAAACCTTTATAAAATATTCGAATGACAAATTTTTATAAATATTAATAGAAGTATACGATGCATTATCATCGCTTCGTTTATTATTTATAAATAGTTATAAACAATATTTTATACATTGAGTATATGGTAAACTATAGTTGTGTTTGCATTATAATGTTATTGTGGTAGGAAGCGAATTCGGAGGGAAAAAGTAAATTATGTTACAGTAGGTATATAGTTATGAAAGGAAATCATAGGATTTATTTCGATGAGCCCCTGCTTAATGCATACGATTCAACGAAATCTGGTAGGTTTTGCATAATATGTCAGTTGCAGAGTCATCTGAATAGAAAATAAATCAAATTATTATATGCAAATTCGTGTTATTATGCATAATATGATTATTGTACAATCGGTTTGATTACTTTTTATGTGATAGAACATCCATCATCGCTCGTTTCCACTTGACCGTTATAATGCAGGTACACGATTTATCCGTTATATAACTGCAGGAC